CTGCTGAGAATTTATTCTCCATTTGTCCAATGATTTTAAAAATTTCAGAGGGGTGGTTTCATATAAATATGGAATTTACAATATGTGTAATATTAGTGTTTGTTTGGTGTCTTTTATTGTTTAGAGAGTGTTGAGAGATTAATGTATGGAGAAAGAGAGTGTTGAGAGAGCTAATAACTAAAAGACTGTATGTGTCTTTTAATGGTTCTTTTAGCCCTCTGACATTTGTTGATTTTCCTCTGCGTATAATGGTTTAAAATCGTTTTTGTTTTGTGCCCCTTTGTCGAAAGTGAGATGCTCTTTTTAATTTCTCGCTCTTACTACCGTAAGAAGAGAAAGTATTGTAAACGTGCGCCGGAAAAGGCGAATTTTCGACACAAAAGCTCTTATCGCCGGCCCTGGTAAGGAAAAAGTGGATAAATCCAGTTGCTAAATATAGTAAAAAATTCCTCTAACACGTGGTGTAGCCAGAATCCATGATTTGTGCATCCTGCATACTGAAAAGTGGATTGACGGCAAAACGTGTCTGTGCCTAAAGTTAGGGCATAAACCGTTCAGCCGATTTTCTCTAAAATTGATATTCCCCAATCGTTCTAGCTGATGTCGCGGCCCCAGGGATTTGAAACCGATATTAAATAATAATAATAAAGGCTCCAAATTTTTTGATTAAATTTTGGTTTTGAATAGTGAGAAGGATTTTCGTTGACATACCCAATATTTCTATTGTTGAAAGAAAAAAAAAAACTTCAAAATTAGAGATAAAGATTTTCCTCCCAGACAAAGTCTGTTGTACAAAATTATCTCTATAAAAAACTAATGTATATATTTTTGAAAAACGTGTAGTTCTTGCGTTATTTGCGATTAAAATTTACAACAAAATTTCTCAAAACCGTCACCAGGTTTTTTTTTTTTTTTCACATAGAGAGAAGTTCAGGCATTTATGTGACCTAAAATAGGTAGGCAAAAAGGCATTTATTTTTATCAAAATAGGTATGCAAAAAAGGTGTTTATTCTGGCGAAAGTAGGGGGGGGGGTAAAACATAGGAAAATGTTAAAAAAACACTCTTTCAAAGTAATTATTTTAAATGAATTAATAATTAAAATGATTCACATTGTTTTAAGAAATGCATTTTCTTTCTTATCTTTATTGCAATTGGCCGTTCGGTATGACGACAACGAATTTCTTTTTACCCGCTGTGTCTAAGAAATGCCATTGTGGGCTCCCTTTTGAATCTTGGATTGTTATTAGTGAAAGCATAATTATAGATTTCGTATTTGTGTAATCGCATAAAGGGAATAGAGAACCAGAAGGAACCGAGAAAGGTAAATCATGTACAGACATGTCTGTCCTCAAAAGGGATCTGAGGCCGTACACTAAGATTTGATGAGATGAAAAATATCAAACATCTTCACTAGTCTCCTCTTCCTTTCCCTTTAAGTTTTTCAACACAACCTGACAGTGGAGCCTCCATATCCACATAAAGTGCCTTCATGTTATCCAGGCTTGTAGGTATGTTTCCATCTTAGAGAGAGAGCATTGCCAGGAGGGGGGGGGGGGAAATAATGACGAAAAGAGCACAAAGGAGGTAAATTCCAAAAATAGATATCAGAAGCTAAACTAGGCTAAAAATAAAATAATCTACTGAAACAACTCCAGAAGTACAATAAAATGATCCCTATTGTTAAAAAACTTAAATTCGTAACAATAATAAAAAGGCATTTTGCCAAACTTTCGAGCTGTGGTAATAAGGAACAGTAAGAAATATGGAGCTCATTTACGGGTATTGCTCGATTTTTTTGAAAACTGAAAAAAAAATTCAAAACTACAAAATTGAAAATACAGATTTTTGCCTCAGACAAATTCTCTTGTACAAAATAAGCTTTTTAAAAAAGATTATGTACAGTTTTTTGAAAAAACAAGGTTTTCGTAATTTCTGCTTGAAATTAATAAAATGTATACAGGTTTCACACCAACTACGAGCCACGAGAAAAATTAAATGAATGATATGAAAAATAATTAGTTTAATTATAATTTGCTGTTGAATATACCAATATTAATTCTGTTTTTACACTCGCTTTTTTACTTTTTACACATTTTGTGTTATCAATGTATTTCCTTTTAAGCAATCTGTAAAGCTTAATAGATATATCGCAACAATGCGGCATCGATACTTGAGAAACTAATTGTTGTCGAATGTCGAGATGTTGGCGGTGATACGATACATCTGTTTTATTAAGTCTAGCTAGTGGTGGTGTGAGTCCTAGACCGAGAGCCTGTACTTCCGTTTACGATGAATTCCGCAGCAGTTTTTTGTAAATTACTTCTCAAGCTGCCCGGTGAGGTAAGTTATATATCTTTTCTGATACCTAATATTGTATATATTATATATACCTATATAATATTTTATTATATATCTCATCTGATACATAAAACAATTTACTGAGTATTAAATAAAAGAAAAAATATGAAACGCAATCAGAACTGTTATCTTACGACGAAAAGCAACTCACAAGTGAGCAGCGAGAACTTTCGCATTTATTTTGATGTTACGTGCATATTCAAACTACTGTATTGATATTATTAGCCACGCGAATGCACATAGTTTTGACAACGCTGCGCTAGCAACAGTGCATAGCTTGCTTCTTGGTTGAATTGCACGTTTTCCAATAATAGCT